ATGCCATCAGCATGCAGCAAATGAGGAGGCGCCTCCTCCTCCGTCATCTTCGCCGCCTGATGTCGCAGCCGAGTCCCGAGGACGCCGCGCGGCGGCGGGTCCAGCTCCGATGTCGTCCCGCGGGCGGTGGCGGCGGGGCGCGGAGGGCCCGGAGCGCCGCGCCAGCGTGGACGGCCGCGGCTCCCACGGCGCAGGCTGTGGGAGCCGTCCGTCCGTCCGTCCGTCCGTCCGTCCGCCGTCGGTCGTCGGTCGTCGGTCGGTCGTCGGTCGTCGTCGGTCGTCGGCATCGCCGTTGCCCTCGCCGTTGCCCTCGTCGTCGTCGTCGTCGTCGTCGTCGTCCGTCGTCGTCGTCGTCGTCGATCTTCAATCGTCGTCAACATCGTCGTCGTCGTGGTCGTCGTCGTCGTCGATTGTTGGTCGTCGTCGTCGTCGTCGTCGTCGTCGTTTTCGTCGTGGTCGTCGTCGTCGTCGTCGTCGATCGTCGTCCCGCGGTGCAGGCCGCGGCTCGGTCGTCGTCCGCCGTCCGCTGTCAGTTGCCCTCCTCAGAGCTAGTCGTTTCGTGTCTTTCGCTGTTTCTCTGCCAGTTTCGGCCTCTGGGGGTCCTCGCTGGGCCCCGAAGAACTACTCGGGATGAAAAGGCGGTCCCTGGAAGTGGGTCGAGACCCGTGAGGGTCCACGTTGTGAAAACATCACGGACCCCTCACCGCGCCTCCTTCGAACACGAGATCGGGCGATTCAAAGACGAGGCCCTGAGGGGCGAGGCCCTGAGGACAGGAACAGGATCCCAGGCTGAGCCCTCGCTGTTTGGATCCCAAGCTGAGCCTTCACCTCCCTCCTCCCTTCCGGATTATCTGCCGCCTCTCTTCTCCCACTCCTGGATTTCGCCGTTTCCTCCTCCTCCTCCTCCTCCTCCACCCGCTCCTCCTGGAGTTCGTTTCCTCCACCTCGGGCCTGTGGCATCAACGTCCTCCAACGCACGCACTTCCTCCAACTCCTCCTCCTCCTCTTCCTCCTGCTCCTCCTCTTCTGCTCTACCGTTGCTCCTGCTCCTCCTCTTCCTCCTCCTCCTCGTCCTCCCCCAGGGTCTCGCCTTCTCCTCCTCGTCCTCCTGCGCCGGACGAGGTCGAAGGCGAGTCAGGCGGCAGCAGTCGTCTAGCGATCAGCTACCTGCTGCCGAGATAAGAGGCTCATGTCAGCCAAGCTGATGTATCTGACAGCTTCCCCTGGTACACGAAGTTCTATCAATTCATTTTCAGCACTGCAGTAAACCTGCTCCAGCTTCGAGGGGTTGCTCAAGTCTGCGACTGTCTTATTCATTCGCTTGCTTTGTCAATGTCTGTCCCCCCCCCGCTCAAGCCTGCGACGACTGCGAGGATCTCCAGCACATTGTCTTCAAGCTCTCCGAGCAATGGTGCCTTTGCGTTCTTTACCAAGTCGAGCCTTTCTCCGACCGTCTCTCCAACGGCACCCCTGATGACGTTCATTGTGAGTGGCGCCAGTTGCTCTCACTGGATACGTGTGATGACCTTTGGGAGCCGGGGGACAACTCGAGCCAGCCTCTGCTGAGGGGGCTGTCGCCACCCTCGGAGGGCTGAGGAAGATCCTGGGGCGCCCCTGGATCTTCCTCGGCCCTCGGCCTCGGACGTACTTCCGGGTTGTGGTCCCCGTTGCTACGTCTCTGGGCGTGGCTGGAGATTCAGACTCCGCGCCCCCACGCATCACGACGTCCCATTCCGCCCAGCTGCGGCCCGTTTATTTCCTGATGACGACCGTTGCGACGTCACTTTTTTCCATGACGTTCTCCTGACCTGCGTCAACTACTTCGAGGAGTTGTGCTCTTGCTCTTCGGCCTCCGATACTGGTACATCTCATCCGCATCAAGGCCATGACGGTCAAGAGATGCAATCTCTTCCTGGCGAACTCGTATGGCTTCGTCGTCAACTGCGATACCGTATTCGACACGGCCCACTTCCTCTTTGACGACGGTAGCGCCGATCTGGTGCACGATGTCGCCGAGAAACACGACACCTGCGGCCTCCCGATGTTTCCCGCGACACCCTTGGCGTCGGCACCGTGGTCCTGTGTGGCTCGGCCCGCAGCGCGCGCGCGCGCTGCGCGCACGCGCGCCTCGTCAGGGAGACCTCGCCTCTTCCACGCTCGGCTCCTCCTCCTCCTGGATGCTGCCTCCTCCCCCTTCCGCTCTGCTCTTCCTCGTCGTCCTGGCTTTCGCTGCCGCCTCGTCGTCGTTCCTCCTGCTGGCCCGACGGTCCGTCTGTGGGAGAGCGACGGGCGCCGGGTCGGGCTCTCGAGCGTCCTGCCCCCTGCCACGCGCGAGGGGAGGCACCTCCGAGAGGCCCAGGGCCACCATGGCCAGGTCGGGGCCGCTTCTGGGCGCCAGATTTGCGGGGCAGCGTCGATAAGGCGTAAGACTGACATCTGATGCGTGCGGAGAGGGGTTCCCCGATCGCTGGCGCCGCGAAGCGGCAGCAGCGGCTCGCGCACCCAGGTTTGGCCACCCCGCGTGCGCCTTCAAACCGCGCACCAAAGGTCACTCTTGCCCAGGGCCACTTTTGCGTGTAGCCAGTGCATAGTGGGGGGACGATGGATAGGGGAGTAGAGAACGGTGCGCTTGTTGTGCCCCGCAGGGGCCCCCTGGCGTCCAAAAGGAGCACGAAAGGTGCACGTTTGCCCTCCCCTTCCCGCTCATTTTTCGCACCTGACAATGCTTTCTTTCAAAAGCATTTGGGCGACGCAGAGAACCGAGGCCAACTGTGCCAACATTCGCGCGTGCGTTGCCCGCGCAAGGTCGCGCGGAAACGCGCCCCATTCCCCGCGCTGGCGGCCCGCGTAAGCTGCGGCGTCAGGGCCGCCGTGCCACCTCGCGAAAGAGTCGTTTCTTTTCGTCGCCCACTCGTCGGGGGACGGATCATGTCGAGTCGGGCATGTCCCTGTACTGGAGGAGTATGCAAGACTGGTGGACATGCAGCCAGGTGACATTTTTCATGCTCTTCTGGATATTCTTGAAGATTTGTCTGAGTATGTGCTATTTTTGTTCCAATCTCCGCCTGTCGGAGGACATACCCGACCTAAGAATCGGCGCGGATGTCCCGCGCGCCAGAGAAGGGGTCCCAGCGCCGATCCGAGACATCAGCGCGGACCTCCGAGCGTTTATGTATGTGCCGTCATTAGTTCCTCGAGTTCGGCCAGCCTCCTCGTGCCCACCCTCTTTTCCCGGAAAGGGCCTGAGCCCAGGGTTCTCTTTTAGTTGGTTTCCCCCCGGTTTTGACGGCTGTAGGGCCGGCGAATTTCTTTTGCGATAAATAACGAGGTCGCGCAGGGCCGGCGAATTAAAAATTGAGGACGTCCCTAGCGAAACGCTTGTTTTTCAGAATTTGTTGAGGATGTCTCGAGCGAAACGCTTGTTTTGTGTTATAGATTGTCCTCTCCTGGGGACCTGAATTCTGAGGATCTCTCAAGTGGATTGCTTGTTTTCACGTGCCCAGGTCTTGAGGATGTCTCGAGCGAGACGCTTGGTTTCACGCCTCCAGGTGGCCCAGACAGATGTCTAGCATGAGGATTTGTTGAGGATGTCTCGAACCAGAGGCTTGTTTTCACGTGTCCAGGTCGCCCAGGCGGATGTCTAGCATGAGCATTTGTTGAGGATGTCTCGAGCGAGACGCTTGTTTGCACGTGTCCAGGTTGCCCAGGCGGATGTCTAGCATGAGGATGTGCTGACAACGTCTTGAGCGAAACGCGTGTTTTCACGTGTCCAGGTCGCCCAGGCACAGCACAGCCCTCGGCACGGTACATCAACATCGATACCCTGAGCATTGCAGCCTGGCATGTTGCCTGGCACGTTCCGCGGAGCGTCCCGTGGCGAGTCCCCCTGGCACGTCGCGCGGTGCACGTCCATTGGCACGTTCCGTAGCGCGTCCCCTTGGCACGTCCCGCGGTGCGTGCCCATGGCACGTCCCCTGGCACGTCGCCTGGCGCGTCCCTTGGGACGTTCCGCGGCGCGTCCTCTTGGCATGTTCCCTCTGTCGATTAGTTCTGGGGCAGCTACCATCTGCTCAGGCAGCTCGAGCTTACGCTCCAGATCAGTTCGGTGAGGACTCGGATGCCAGGGAGGACTCGATCCACAACGCTATATAGAGCACAATCGCGGCATAGCACATCGCAGTTCAGCACGGCCCAGCACAGCACAGCCGTCGGCACGGTACAGTACACTCAACTATGCACCTTGGCACGTTCCTTGGCGCGTTCCGTGGCGAGTCCACCTGGCACGTCGCTCGGCGCGTCCCCTGGCACGTCCCTCGGCACGTCCATTGGCACGTTCCGTAGCGCGTCCCCTTGGCACGTCCCGCGGTGCGTCCCCATGGCACGTCCCCTGGCACGTCGCCTGGCGCGTCCCTTGGGACGTTCCGCGGCGCGTCCTCTTGGCATGTTCCCCCTGTCGATTAGTTCTGGGGCAGCTACCATCTGCTCAGGCAGCTCGAGATTACGCTCCAGATCAGTTCGGTGAGGATTCGGATGCCAGGGAGGACTCGATCCACAACGCTATATAGAGCACAATCGCGGCATGGCACATCGCAGTTCAGCACGGCCCAGCACAGCATAGCCCTCGGCACAGTACATCATCATCGATACATTCAGCATTGCATGTGCCCGTCGCCCAATCAGGTGTCTTTGAAATGTTGCAGTGCCTTACATTTCTATATTCCTTTCCGGGTTCGTGGGTCGATCATGTTTCAATGGGCTCGCTTTCCTCCCCATCCCTCGCCCCCAGAGTGCTGGCCCCCAGGAATTCTGACGCGTTTTCTCGTGATCGGGTGGGTGTGTCGTGTGTTCGCCCGATCGCCGCCCGTTGGCAGCTCACGGCCGCCCTGTGCGATGGCTCGATGCGTCGGGTGTTCGCCTGGCCGCCGCTCGCCACCCGCGGGCGCCCTGCGGGCGCCTCGTGCGCTGGCTGTGTGTGTTCGAGTCTTCGCCCCGCCGCCGCCCAGCGGCGCCTCGTGGGCGCCTCATGGTCGCCTTGTGCTCTGGCTGGGTGCTCCGGGTCTTCGCGCAGTCGCCGCCCATCGGCGCCACGCGGGCGCCCCGTGTGCTGGCCACATGTCTGGGTTTTCGCCAGATCGCCACCCTCTGGGCGCATCGTGGGCGCCCCGTGCGGCAGCAGTCCGTGCTTCCGTATGCG